CCTTGCGCAGCAAGGGTGATGTCACTGAGGTGTTGATCGACTGGATCCGCGCAGCTCGTCTCCAGCTGAGGAGGAGCTTTGGCTCGGACTTTCCTGTTCTCCGTCTGCACTCTGACCGAGGCGGAGAGTTCTCCTCTAGCCTTCTGCGAGCCTACTGTCGTGCGCGAGGCATCCGCTAGACCTTTACGCTTCCGGACTCTCCACAGCAAAATGGGATTGTTGAGCGCCGCATTGGCATGGTCATGGACGTCGCTCGTACGACAATGATGGATGCGGCTGCCCCCCATTTTTTTGTGGCCGTTTGCGGTTCGGTACGCGGCGCATCAGATCAACCTTCACCCTAGGGTTTCCATGACGGAGACCTCCCCAGCTTTGCAATGGACGGGGAAGGTAGGCGATGCGTCTACGTTCCGTGTCTGGGGAACTTGGGCGTTTGTCCGCGACTTGTCTGCGGACAAGCTGTCCCCTAATGCTGCTCCTAATGTCTTCCTTGGCTTCCCCCCTGACGCACCAGGGTGGCAGTTCTACCACCCCTCCTCTCGTCGTGTTCTGTCCTCCCATGACGTCAAGTTTGATGAGTCGGTCCCCTACGACTGTCTCTTCCCCTAACGCACTCCTTCCCTCCCCCCGCCTCCGCTCTTCCTTGTGCCTGGTCCCCCCCCGGTAGACCCCCTCCCCCCTCAAGGTCCTGCCCCTTCAAGTGTGTCCTAGGTAGATGCAGTCGAGCCGGTCGAGGTTGCTGGTGACTCTGGTCATGCTTCAGGTGCTGCGCCTGGGGGTGCTGACTCTGGAGGTGCTGCACGCGGGGGTGCTGAGCCTGGGGGTGCTGCGACTCGGGGTGCTAAGCCTAGGGGTGCTGAGCCTGGGGGTGCTGAGCCTGGGGGTGCTTAGACTTGGGGTGTTGAGCCTGGGGGTGCTGCGATTGGGGGTGCCACGTCTGGAGCTGCTGAGCCTGGAGGTGTGGAGCCGGAGGCCGCTAGGCCTGCTCGTGTGGTGTCTGGCGGTGCTGAGCCTGGAGGTTCTCCGGGTGCTTCATCTCGGCGGGAGCCGCTCTCTCCACAGGAGCTGCGCGAGTGGTTCGCCTGGCGCTGGAGGCGTACAGCTGGAGCTTCTTCGGCTGCTGAGGGTGCTGGTACTGCCGGTCCCAGAGGTTCTAGTCCGGGGGGTGCTGGAGCTGCTGTAGTGTGGGTACGACTGGAGCTAGAGCTGCCGAGGGTGTTGGCGCTGAGTCTACTGCTGTCAGTCCTGCCGGCGGTCCTGCTGCGGTGTCTGCTGGTGTTGCTGGTGAAACTGCAGCTGGAGGTGCTGTTGGCGCTGGTGCTGCCGCTGAGGGTGCTGGTGCTGTCCCTGCTGTGCCTGGAGTCGCCGCGTGGCCTCGGCCGTACTTCGTTCCGCTCCTTCAGTAGGTTCTTGGTCTTCCTCCTCCCTTAGAATGTCCAGCGCGTGTCCAGTCCCAGTCACAGCTACCGCCGGCCTCCCCACTGCCTGCTCCTTCTCCGTTCACTTGTCCTACTGGAGGTCTTGCTGAGCGTCGTGAGCTTGCGTCTCATCCTGCGTTGCCTGTTCGTGCTGCTCGCGCTAGTGGTCGCGGTTCGCGTCAGCGTCCTCCTCCTGTGCTTGGAACGCACCGGATGTCGCTGCGTCCGTCCAGTGCTCCTTTGCGTGCCCCTTTGCCTTCTCCTCCTAAGTCCTCTCTTCCTGCACTTGCCGACCCCGAGTCGAACTCTCTTCGTGCTGCCAGTCCTACTGTCCCACGTCTCCTGAGTCCACTGCTGCGTCTACGCTTGTTGCTGAGCTCGTCGACTTTGCTGCTCGCTGTCGTCTAGACTACGCTTCTAGTCTTGTTGTTGAGTCTGGGTGTGTCTGTCCTCCGTCCGTCGAGGGTGAGTGTGCTCTTGGCACGGACGTCCTTGAGGACAGGCAGAAGGAGTTCCAGTGTCCGGCTGCTGCTTCACCTCATCTCGTGTCCGTACTCCTTACCCCCGAGGTAGACCCGGATGCACTTGACATCCCGACTCCGCGCTCTTACGCGGAGGCCGTAGAGGGTCCCTACTCCTCTTAGTGGCAGGCAGCTATGGATGCAGAGATGGCTTCCTGGAAGTCCACAGGCACCTACGTTAACGCGGTTCCCCCACTTGGGGCGAACATCATTAGTGGCATGTGGATTTGAAGGGTGAAGCGGCCGCCAGGTTCTCCACTTGTCTTCAAGGCGCGGTACGTGGCTCGTGGCTTCAGTCAGCGGCAGGGAGTTGACTACTTTCAGACCTTCTCTCCCACCCCGAAGATGACCACTCTTTGGGTGTTGCTGCACATAGCTGCTCAGCGTGACTACGAGCTTCACTCCCTTGACTTCAGCACTACTTTCTTGCAGGGTAGCCTGCACGAGGAGATCTGGCTACGACGTCCACGTGGCTTCACTTGTTTCTGTAGGCTATAGTGGGATATCCCATAGGGGGTACAACACAATTAGGGTTTCCTATTTGTATTCACTTCACTTCATAGTCATCCATTCTCGTTCACACTTTCTCATGGAATCAGAGCAGGTCCCTTCTTAGGGCCTGTTCCTAGGGCCCACCGAAGCGCGCCCCGAGGCGCGCATTTTTTTTAGCGACCCTCCGTGTCGCCCTCCCCGTCGTGCTCCCGCTTAGGCCACTCGTCGGCCCCGCCTAGGCCCCTCGTCGGCCCCGCGTAGCCCCCGTCGGCCCCACTTAGGCCCCGCGTCGGCCCCACCTAGACCCCGTCGGCTCCTCGTCGGCCCCGCCTAGGCCCCACGTCGGCCCCGCGTAACCCCCGTCGGCCCCGCTTAGGCCCCACGTCGGCCCCGCGTAGCCCCGCTTAGGCCCGTCGGCCCCGCTTAGGCCCCGCTTTGGCCCCGCGTCGGCCCCGCCTAGACCCCGTCGGCCCCGAGTTGGCACTGCTTAGGCCCCGTCGGCCCCGCGTTGGCCCCGCTTAGGCCCCGCCGGCCCGCCTAGGCCCCACTTCGGCCCCTCGTCGGCCCCGCCCAGACCTCGTCGGCCCCGCCACGGCCCTACGCCGGCCCCGCTTCAGCTGCTGTCGGCCCCGCTACAGCCCGCCACTGGCCTCGCTACACCCCGCCACTGGCCCCGCTACAGCCCGCACCGGCCCCTGCTACAGCCCGCCGCCGGCCCAGCTACAGCCCGCCGCCGGCCCAGCTACAGCCCGCCCCCGGCCCAGCTACAGCCCGCCGCCGGCCCAGCTACAGCCCGCCGCCGGCCCAGCTACAGCCCGCCACCGGCCCCGCTACAGCCCGCCGCCGGCCCAGCTACAGCCCGCACCGGCCCCGCTACAGCCCGCCGTCGGCCCGCCGTCGGCCCCGCTACAGCCCTCCCCGGGGCCCCTGCTGCAGCCCGCCGTGCTGCACGTGAGCAGCCCCAGCAGCCCGCGCCGCCCGTGAGCCCCTACGCCACCCGAGCCGCGCGAGCCGCCCGAGCCGCCCGAGCCGCCCGAGCCGCCCGAGCCGCCCGAGCCGCCAGAGCCGCCCGAGCCGCCTGAGGAGCCGTACTGCTGTTCCTGAGCTGTGTTCCTCTGCTGCTGACCTACCCGACTCTCCCAGCCCGGTGAGACTTTCAACTGCTGCCATGGCCACCCCCAATGTTCTTACTTTTGACGCTGAGGGGAGGGCCATTGACTTTGCCGTCTGGATTGAAGACTTGCAGCTGTACTTACTGTGTGATGCGATAGATGAGGTCTCTCTTTTTGACTTTGTCTCTGGCGCTGTCCCTGCCCCACCTGCTGATGCTGACTCTGCCGTTCGCTCCAAGTGGGCGACCCGCGATGCTGCTGCACGTCTTGCTGTGCGTCGCCACCTCCCTTCCTCTGAGTGTGCCCACTTTAGTCAGTGCAAGACCGCTCAGGCCTTGTACGACGCTGTAGTTGCACGCTACTCCTCCCCTTCCTCCGCTACCCTTAGCCGCCTCATGCTACCGTTTCTCTTCCCTGACCTCGCTTCCTTTCCCACTGTCGCTGACCTCGTTACCCACCTCCGTGCTAGTGACACCCGCTACCCCGCTGCCCTTCCTGCTGAGTTCCGCGCTGCGAACCCTCCTCCCATGTACATCACTCTCTACTTTCTCGTCACCCGTCTCCCTGAGTCCCTTCGTGTCGTTAGGGACCAGTTTCTCTCTGTCGGTCCCACCACTCTCACTGTCGACCTCCTTGAGGAGTCCCTGCTAGCGGCTGAGAAGAGTATTGTCGCTGTAGGGGCCTCTCGGGGTGACCCTCGCACCCCCATCTTTGAGGGGTGTGGTCCTTCCCCCCTGCTGCCCTCTGTCGCCTCTGCCGCTGCGGCCGACCTCACTGGTTTTGAGTCGGTCGGCGCAGCGTCTGCCCCCAGCGGCAGACGCCGCTCTGGCAAGGGCAAGGGGGGCAAGGGAGCGGGTGGAGCTAGAGGGGGCGGTGGAGGAGGCGGTGGGGGTGGCGGGGGGAGTGGGGGTGGCGGTGGGGGTGGTGGCGGGAGTGGAGGTACTGGTGGCGGCGGTGGAGGCGGAGGTGGCGGCTGAGGTGGTAGCGGAGGAGGCGGTGGGAGCGGTGGGAGCGACGGTCCTGGTGGGGGAGGTGGCGGTGGAGACGGGGGTGGCGGTGGAGGCGGGGGTGGCGGTGGAGGCGGGGGTCGGAGTGGCTCGTCCCAGCGTAGCAGCTCTGGGGGTGGTCAGCGCCAGCAGCAGCAGCAGCAGCAGCCGCAGCAGCAGCCACAGCAGCAGCAGCGCTCTCGCACCGTCCTCGCCCCTCAGCAGCTCCGTGAGTGGTACTTGCAGCGTCAGCGTGGTGGTGCGCTTGGTCCCTGCCCCTACGTTCTTCGCACCGGTGACCGTGCAGGGGAGAGGTGTGGAGGCGCCCACACAGCCCGCCGCTGCTTTGGCCGCCTGACCGACGCCTGGCGTCAGCAGTTTCTGGAGGCCGCTGAGATCCCCCACTGGGGAGAGCTGTCTAGGGCTGGTGTAGCTATTTATGATCTTGATTTTGATGCTATTCTCTCTGCTATGTATGCTGTGACTGGTAGTGATGAGGATGACTGTTACCGGTGTTTCCCGCCCGACCCGGGCATTGGTACTGCCGCGTCAGGTACTAGTGAGGCTGCTGCTCTAGGTGCCAGTGCGTCTGTGCTCTCAGGTGCTGGTGAGTCTGCCCTCTCAGGTACTGTGTCGGCTTCGGCCTCTCACACCTTCACCCTTGACTCTGGAGCGTCTCGCTCCTTCTTTAGGGACCGCACCACTCTCACGCCGCTGAGTCGGCCAGTTGCGGTGTCCCTGGCTGACCCCTCTGGAGGGCCTGTCCTGTCTCGCTTCTCCACTGTCCTCCCGTGTCCGGCGGCCCCCTCTGGCACCCTGACTGGTCTCTACCTCCCCTCGTTCTCGACGAACTTGGTGAGTGGTGCTGACCTCCAGGATGCGGGTGTCCACCAGTTCACCCCTGCTCGTCAGCGGGTGACCCACTGCACGGAGGCGGATACAGGTCGCCACCTGGCTACGTTTACACGTCGGCCAGGGTCGAGCCTGTACACACTGACCACTGCTTCTCCTCCAGGTGCTACGTCTGGTAGGGTCCCTTCGTCTGATCAGGTGTTTGCTGCAGCGTCCAGGTCTGGTCCTGAGTCTGCCCCCTGCTCGTGTCGTCGTCTGTCTCACGAGACCCTCCTCTGGCACCACCGCCTTGGCCACCCCTCTCTGCTTTGGCTCAGAGGCATGGCCTCGCGATTCCTTGTGTCTGGTCTTCCCCGGTCTCTCCCTCCCCTTCCTCCGGGCCCTGGCCCTACCTGTGTCCCCTGTGTCGAGGGGCGCCAGCGTGCTGCCCCTCACTCCTCCCTGTTTCCTCCGACAGAGGCCCCGTTGCAGACGCTTCACATGGACGTGTGGGGCCCAGCCCGCGTCCGTGGACAGGGTCAGGAGCGCTACTTCCTGCTGGTGGTTGACGACTACTCGCGTTACACCACAGTCTTCCCCTTGCGCAGCAAGGGTGAGGTCACTGAGGTGTTGATCGACTGGATCCGCGCAGCTCGTCTCCAGCTTCGGAGGAGCTTTGGCTCTGACTTCCCTGTTTTGCGTCTCCACTCGGACAGAGGCGGAGAGTTCTCCTCTGGCCTCCTGAGTGCCTACTGTCGTGTGCGAGGCATCCGTCAGACCTTCACGCTTCCGGACTCACCACAGCAGAATGGGATTGCTGAGCGCCGCATTGGCATGGTCATGGACGTCACTCGTACGTCCATGATGCATGCGGCTGCTCCCCATTTTCTGTGGCCGTTTGCGGTCAGGTACGCTGCGCACCAGATCAACCTCCACCCCAGGGTCTCTCGACCGGAGACCTCCCCAGCCCTGCTGTGGACGGGGAAGGTTGGCGATGCGTCGGCGTTCCGGGTCTGGGGATCTCGGGCGTTTGTTCGGGACCTTTCTGCGGACAAGCTGTCCCCTCGTGCTTCTCCCTGCGTCTTCCTGGGGTTCCCCCCCGACGCCCTTGGGTGGCAGTTTTACCACCCCACCTCTCGACGTGTTCTGTCCTCCCAGGACGTCACGTTCGACGAGTCGGTACCCTACTACCGCCTCTTCCCCTACCGCACTCCGTCCCTCCCCCCACCCCCGCTCTTCTTGGTACCAGGTCCCCCCCCGGTAGTCCCCCTCCCCCCTCAGGGTCCTGCCCCTTCAGGTGTGTCCCAGGTAGACGCGGTCGAGCCTGTCGAGGTCACTAGTGACTCTGGTGCTGCTGCGGGAGCTGAGCCTGGGGGTGCGGAGTCTGGGGGTGCTGAGCCTGGGGGTGCTGAGCCTGGGGGTGCTGTGCCTGGAGGTGCTGAGCCTGGAGGTGCCGAGCCTGGGGGTGCTGTGCCTGGGGGTGCTGTGCCTGGGAGTGCTGAGCCTGGAGGTGCCGAGTCTGGGGGTGCTGTGCCTGGGGGTACTGTGCCTAGGGGTGCTGAGCCTGGGGGTGCTCAGCCTGGGGGTGCTGTGCGTGGGGGTGCTTCGTCTCGCCGGGAGCCACTCTCCCCACAGGAGCTGCGTGAGTGGTTTGCCAGGCGCTAGAGGCGTGCTGCTGGTGCTGGTGGTTCTTCGGCTGCAGAGGGTACTGCTGCCGCGAGTCCCGCCGGTGCTCGTACTGTGGGTGGTGGAGCTGCTGGGTCTGAGAGTTCTCCTGGAGCTGGTACTGCTGAGGGTGTTGGCGCTGAGCCTGCCGTTGGCGGTCCGACTGACAGTGCTCCTGGTGCTGCTGCTGGAGGTTCTGGAGCTTCTGGTGGTGCTGCTGGAGGTGCTGCTGGAGTGGGTGCTCCTGCCGGGGCTGCTGGTGCTGTTCCTGCTGTTTCTAGCGTCGCCGCGCGGCCCCGACCGTACTTCGTTCCGCTCCTGCAGCAGGTTCTTGGTCTTACACCTCCTCCTCCTCCCTTAGAGGGTCCGCAGCCTGTCCGGTCACAGCCACAGCTACAGCCTGCCTCCCCTTTGCCTGCTCCTTCTCCCTACGCTGGTCCGACTGGAGGTCTTACTGAGCGTCGTGAGCCTGCGTCTCGTCCTGTGTCGCCTGTTCGTACTGAGCGCGCTAGTGGTCGCGGGTCGCGTCAGCGTCCTCCTCCTGTCCCTGGCACGCACCGGATGTCACTGCGTCCGTCCACTGCTCCTCTGCGTGCCCCTTTGCCTTCTCCTCCTGCTTCCTCTCTTCCTGCTCTTGCCGACCCGGAGTCGGACTCTCTTCGTGCTGCCAGTCCTACTGTCACGCGTCTCCTTGCTACTGCTGTCACTGACCCTTCCTTCGAGTCGTCTGCTGCGTCTGCCCTTGTCACTGAGCTTGTCGACTTTGCTGCGCGCTGTCGTCTAGACTACGCTGCTCGTCTTGTCACTGCGTCTGAGTCCGCCTGTCCTCCGTCCGTCGGGGGTGAGTGTGCCCTTGGCACGGACGTCCGTGAGGACAGGTAGGAGGAGTTCCAAAGTCTGGCCGCCGCTTCACCTCGTCTCGCGTCTGTTTTGCTAGCCCCTGAGGGAGACCCGGATGCACCAGACATCCCGACTCCGCGCTCTTACGCGGAGGCGATAGAGGGTCCCTACTCCTCTCAGTGGCAGGCAGCTATGGATGCAGAGATGGCTTCCTGGAAGTCCACAGGCACCTACGTTGACGCTGTTCCCCCTCCTGGGGCGAACATCGTCAGTGGCATGTGGATTTTAAGGGTGAAGCGGCCGCCGGGTTCTCCGCCTGTCTTCAAGGCGCGTTACGTGGCTCGTGGCTTCAGTCAGCGGCAGGGGGTTGACTACTTTCAGACCTTCTCCCCCACCCCGAAGATGACCACTCTTCGGGTTCTGCTGCACGTTGCTGCTCACCGTGACTACGAGCTGCACTCTCTCGACTTCAGCACAGCTTTCTTGCAGGGCAGCCTGCACGAGGAGATCTGGCTGCGTCGCCCACCTGGCTTCACTGGGTCTTTCCCTCCTGGTACCCAGTGGAGTCTCCGGCGTCCAGTCTACGGTCTCCGCCAGGCGCCCCGTGAGTGGCACAACACACTGAGGACTACGCTCGCGGCACTTGGGTTTGCTCCTTCTACTGCCGACCCGTCGCTGTTCCTGCGCACCGACACCTCTCTGCCGCCGTTCTACATCCTCGTGTACGTCGACGACTTGGTCTTTGCCACAGCTGACACTGCTGGACTCGCCTACGTGAAGTCCGAGCTGCAGAAGAGACACACGTGCACTGACCTGGGTGAACTGCGCAGCTACCTTGGCTTGCAGATCACCCGGGACAGAGCACGCCGCACCATTACCCTGACTCAGTCACACATGGTGCAGCAGGTCCTTCAGCGCTTCGGCTTCACGTACTCCTCGCCTCAGGCCACTCCTCTGCCTACTCGCCACTCGCTCTCAACTCTGCCTTCGGATGAGTCCGTAGAGTCGAGTGGCCCGTTTGCAGAGCTTGTTGGCTGCCTCATGTACCTGATGACCTGCACACGACCTGACCTCGCATACCCTCTTAGCATTCTCGCACGCTTTGTTGCTCCTGGGAGACACCGACCAGAGCACATGGCTGCAGCGAAGAGGGTGTTGCGCTACTTGTGCAGTACGTCGGGCATGGGGCTAGTGCTTGGAGGGCGCAGTCCAGTGGTCCTCACTGGGCACGTAGACGCTTCTTGGGCTGACGACCAGGCTACGCAGCGGTCGTCACAGGGTTACACCTTCAGCCTTGGTTCCGGCTCTGTCTCGTGGCGGGCTACCCGCTCGTCTTCTGTTCTCGGCTCCAGTTGTGAGGCTGAGATCTACGCTGGGGCTATGGCTGCACAGGAGTTACGCTGGCTCACCTACCTGCTGACCGACCTTGGAGAGCAGCCTCGTTCTCCTCCAGTCCTGTACGTAGACAACAAGGCCATGCTGGCCTTGTGTCGAGAGCAGCGACTGGAGCACAGAACGAAGCACATTGCTCTCCGCTACTTTCTTGCTCGTGAGCTACAGCAGCGTGGACAGTTGCGACTTGCGTACGTGGCCTCTGAGGCCAACACTGCTGATGTCTTCACCAAGGCACTTGCGCCTTGTGATCATCAGCGTTGTTGCACGCAGTTGGGTCTTGTGCCTGTCTTGCCTCACTTGCTCTCCTCTTGACCTTGCTTGTACCTTCGCCTATATATACTCTTGCTCTTGCTTGCTTGACTCTTGTATATCTCTATATATGATCTTGCATGTGAACTGGCCTTCTGGCCTTTGAACTTGTGCTCGGAATGCGTGGTGACTTTGTGATCCACCCTGAGCTTTGCTTTGCTTTGCTTGACTGGTCTTGTGACCCCTTGTTCTCCCCCACTTTGCCTATGGGGGTGTGTCAGAACATATAGCTTACTTGTTTCTGTAGGCTATAGTGGGGTATCCCATAGGGGGTACAACACAATTAGGGTTTCCTATTTGTATTCACTTCACTTCATAGTCATCCATTCTCGTTCACACTTTCTCATGTTGCGCTACTTGTGCAGTACGTCTGGCATAGGGCTAGTGCTTGGAGGGCGACGTCCAATGGTCCTCACTGGGCACACGGACGCTTCTTGGGCTGACGACCAGGCTACACAGCGGTCGTCACAGGGTTACACCTTCAGTCTTGGTTCCGGCTCTGTTTCGTGGCGGGCTACTCGCTCGTCTTCTGTTCTCGGCTCCAGTTGTGAGGCTGAGATCTACGCCGGAGTGATGGCTGCTCAGGAGCTACGCTGGCTCACCTACCTGCTGACTAACCTCGGAGAGCCGCCTCGTTCTCCTCCAGTGCTGTACGTAGACAACAAGGCCATGCTGGCCTTGTGTCGAGAGCTGTGCCTGGAGGACAGTAGGAAGCACATTGCTCTCCGCTACTTTCTTGCTCGTGAGCTGCAGCAGCGTGGTCAGTTGCGACTTGCGTACGTGGCCTCTGAGGCCAACACTGCTGATATCTTCACTAAGGCTCTTGCGCATTGTGATCATCTGCGCTTTTGTACTCAGCTTGGTCTTGTGCCTGTCTTACCTCACTCGTTCACTTCTTGACCTTTCTTGTACTGTCACATATATATAGTCCTGCTCTTGCTTGTTTAGCCTCTTATATATATATGTGTGCTCTTGCATGTGAACTGGCCGTCTGGCCTTGAACTTGTGCTCGGAATGTGTGGTGACTTTGTGATCCACCCTGAGCTTGCTTTGCTTTGCTGTGCTTCGCTTGACTGGTCTTGTGACCCCTTGTTCTCCCCCACTTTGCCTATGGGGGTGTGACAGATTTATATGACATAGCTGTTGTAGGCTATAGTGGGGTAGCACATATGGGGTACATCTTTCTAGGGTTTGTATTTGTACCCAACTTTCACTTAGTCAACCCATTCTCGTTCTAAGTTTCTCATCTACCCCACTACAGCCTAAATAGACCATAGCATATGAGTTTGACACACACCCATAGGCAAAGTGGGGGATAATAAGAGGTCACAAGACCAGTCAATCAAAGCAAAGCAAGCTCAGGGTGGATCACAACATCACCACACAGTCCGAGCACAAGTGCAAGGCCACAAGGCCAGTTCAAATGCAAGATCATATATAATGGTAAACAAGCAAGTGCAGGTATAGAAAGATCACAGTACAAGCAAGGTCAAGAAGTGAGCAATTGAGGCCAAGTAGGCACAAGACTGAGCATCGTTTGGCACGGACGTCCTTGAGGACAGGCAAGACGAGTTTGAGTGCTTTGCTGCCGATTTGCCCCATCTTGTGTCCATGCTTGTTGCCCCTGAGGAAGACCCGGATGCACCACACATCCCGACCCCACGCTCTTACGCAGAGGCGATGGCCGGTCCTTACTCCTCCCAGTGGCAGTGGGCCATGGACATAGAGATGGCTTCCTGGAAGTCCACAGGCACCTACGTCGACAAGGTTCCCCCACTTGGGGCGAACATCGTCAGTGGCATGTGGATTTTCAGGGTGAAGCGGCCGTCGGGCTCTCCGCCTTTCTTCAAGGCGCGTTACGTTGCACGAGGCTTCAGTCAGCGAGAGGGAGTTGACTTCTTCCAGACCTTCTCCCCGACCCCGAAGATGACCACTCTTCGGGTTCTGCTGCACGTCGCCGCTCAGCGTGACTACGAGCTCCACTCGCTTGACTTCAGCACTTCTTTTCTACAGGGCAGCTTGCACGAGGAGATCTGGCTACGCCGCCCACCTGACTTCACTGGGTCGTTCCCTCCTGGTACCCAGTGGAGCCTCCGATGGCCAGTCTACGGTCTCCGCCAGGCGCCTCGTGAGTGGCACGAAACACTGAGGACTACACTTGCGGCTCTTGGGTTCGCGCCTTCTACTGCTGACCTGTCGCTGTTTCTACGCACCGACACCTCACTGCCGCCGTTCTACGTCCTTATGTAGGTCGACGACTTGGTCTTTACCACTGCTGACACTGCGGCATTTGCCCACGTGAAGTCGGAGCTGCAGAAGAGACACACGTGCACAGACCTGGGTGAACTGACAAGCTATCTTGGCTTGCGGATCACCTGGGACACAGCACGCCGCACCATCACCTTGACTCAATCACACATGGTGCAGCAGGTCCTTCAGCGCTTCGGCTTCACGTACTCCTCGCCTCAGCCCACTCCTCTGCCTACCGGTCACACGCTCTCAGTTCTGCCTTCGGATGAGTCCGTAGAGCCTCATGTACCTGATGACTTGCACTCGACCTGACCTTGCATACCCTCTCAGCATTCTTGCACGCTATGTCGCTCCCGGCCGTCACCGGAAGGAGCACATGGATGCAGCTAAGAGGGTGTTGCCCTACTTGTGCAGTACGTCGGGCATGGGGCTAGTGCTTGGAGGGCGAGTCCCAGTTGTTCTGACTGGGTACTCAGATGCTTCTTGGGCTAACGACCAGGCTACTCAGCGGTCGTCTCAGGGCTACTCTTTCAGTCTTGGCTCTGGTACTGTTTCTTGGCGTTCTACTCGCTCTTCTTCTGTTCTTAGCTCCAGTTGTGACCTGAGATCTACGCCACAGCCATGGGGTCCAACGAGCTACGCTGGCTCACCTACTTGCTGACCGACCTTGGAGAGCAGCCTCGTTCTCCTCCACTGCTGTACATCGACAACAAGGCAGCCATTGCCTTGTGTGAGGAGCACAGACAGGAGCACAGAACGAAGCACATTGCTTTGCGTTACTTCCTTGCTCGAAAGCTGCAGCAGCGTGGTCAGCTTCGCCTGCGCTATGTGGCCTCTGAGGCCAACACTGCTGATGTGTTCACCAAGGCGCTTCAGCCTTGTGACCATCAGCGCTTTTGCACTCTTCTAGGTCTTGTGCCTACTGGACCTCACTTGCTTACTTCTTGAGTCTGTTTGTACTGTGATCTCTATATATCTATATATCTGCATGTTGACTGTTGCTAGGTTGTGATCATTGTACCTTTTGCTCTATTATAAACCTGCATGTGAACTGGTCTTGTGACCACTTGCTTGTGCTCGGAATTTGTGTGGTATCCTTGTGATCCACCCTGAGCTTGTTTTGCCTTGTTTTGCCTTGACTGGTCTTGTGACCCCTAGTTCTCCCCCACTTCGCCTATGGGGGTGGGTCAAACATTATATATGTTGTGCTTGTTTAGGCTACAGTGGGTTAGCCTATAGGGGGTACACAATTCTAGGGTTAGGTACTTGTACTCATTTCACTGTTAGTTCATTCATTCCTGTTCAGTTATTCAATAGTGACCATTGAGGACGACTCGAGCCCGTCCTCCAAGCACAAGCCCCAAGCTCGACGTACTACACACGTAGCGCAACACCCTCTTAGCTGCATCCATGTGCTCTGTTCGGTGTCTCCGAGGAGCAACATAGCGTGCCAAGATGCTAAGAGGTTATGCCAGGTCGGGTCGAGTGCAAGTCATCAGGTACATGAGGCAGCCAACAAGCTCTGGGTATGGGCCGCTTGGCTCTACGGACTCATCCGAAAGCAGAGGTGAGAGCAAGTGGCGAGTCAACAGAGGAGTTACCTGAGGCGAGGAGTACGTGAAGCCAAGCACCGAAGGACCTGTTGCACCACGTGTAACTGACTCAAGGTAATGGTGCGGCGTGCTCTGTCCCAGGTAATCTGCAAGCCAAGATAGCTGCGCAGCTCACCCAGGTCCCCTCTGCAGCTCCGACTTCACATGGGCCGATCGAACAGTGTCAGCAGTCGCAAAGACCAAGTTGTTGACCTACACGAGGATGTCAATCGGCGGCAGAGTAGTGCCGGTGTGGAGAAACAGCGACGGGTCAGCAGTGGAAGGAGCAAACCTCAAGAGCCGCAAGCGTAGTCCTCAGTGTGTCGTACCACTCGCGGGGCGCCTGGCGGAGACCGTAGATTGGCTGCCGGAGGCTCCACTGGGTACCAGGAGGAAACATCTCAGTATAGCCAGGTGGATGGCGCAGCTAGATCTCCTCGTGCAGGCTGTCCTGTAGGAATGCTATGCTGAAGTCAAGAGAGTGAAGCTCGTAGTCACGCTGAGTAGCAACGTGCAGCATTACTTGAAGAGTCTTCGGGGTGGGAGATAAGGTCTGAAAGTAGTCTTCTTGCTGCCACTGGCTTAAGCCTGAAGCCACGTAACGCACCTTGAAGACAGGTGGAGAACCTGGCGGCCACTTCACCCTAAAAATCCACATGCCATCAACAATGTTCGCCCCAGGTGGGGGAGCCTCGTCGACATAGGTGCCTGTGGACTCCCAAGAAGCCATCTCTGCGTCCATAGCTGTTTGCCACCGAGAGGAATAGGGACCCTCTATCGCCTTTGCGTAAGAGCGCGGGGTCGGGATGTCTGGTGCATCCGGGTCTCCCTAGAAATAGCATAATAAAGTAAAGGCAAGCAAGCATAGCTGGCATAAGCCGTCGTTCTCTCACACGTCCCCCCCTCAAAGCTGGGTGGCGTGAGATACACCCTGCTTGACAAGATCGTCTTTGAGAGCACGGCGTGCGTTGCCCATATCAGCTTCTACAACCCAACTGTCCTCAGTGGGGTCGTATCCCTTTTAGCGTATTGGGAACTCGAGGGTCTTGCGGCCGCGGCGTGGATGAGTGTGAACACGCTCCACTTCATACTCGGGTTCATCCTGTATGAGAACAGGTGGTGGTGGCGATAGCTGGCGTCCGTGGAACTGTTGGTTGGGGT